TGCTATTGTTAACATGCTGATATGTATATTTTCAGAGTTATGCTAGCATGGGTTGAGAATTTTGCCTTAAGAATAAAGAGAACATACATTAATATAAATATCTCTCCACTCTCAAGCAGCTGAATACTATTTGGGCCAAATACACATACAATAAATATGAGTAATTGTTTAGTTATTTTATTTTTTTTGGGCCAAGTAAAGAATTGGCTTTTTATATTACAATATACAAATCAATTGCATGCAGAACAGAAAGGCTGAAACTACTGAAAGTCGGAAATGATTAAATGAAGTTAATAATTATTTACTATATTATTAATATAAATATAATAATAATAATGTATTATATATACAGAATATTTTGTACAAACTAACTAAAACGGGACAAACGAGACGGTTCGTGACATAAATATTCAAAACCGATACCGACATTGTTTAAAACGATTAGGGACCGAGAACGAGAAGGAAATAAAGAAAACCTTTTTAACTTTATTTTTTCGGAACGGGACCTGATATAGCCATACTGTCGAGTAACGGTTCAATAGCCATCGCGGTTCAAAATTATCAAGTCGACTTCAACACAGTCGACTCCGCCGGTAAGGTTCCGCGATACTCAGTCAAGAATCCCGGCTCTCGACCGAGTCGACGTACACCTGTCGACTAGAATAAGTCGATTTCTGGCAAGACAACGGTCAGACGTATCAGGGTCCACTAATGGTTGAATGCGATCCAGTCGACTCGACTCAATATCTCAGGTCGACTGAAGGAGTCCTGCAGTTCGTGGTTCTCGATAGCTTTGACACACCTCAGCATATTGAGGGAGAGTTAAGGATAAGAGGGAAGCTAAGGAAGGATCTAGAGGCTGACTAGGAAGTAGGCAGAATACGAACCGACCGGGGTATTCTGGACATTTCCAGTAAGTCGGCCGGGGCACTTTGGGGACTTCAGGTAAATGTTGCACTTCTATATAAAGGACTGAGGTAATCCTAAAACCCTAACTCCAATTCATTCCATATTCTTTTCATTACTGCTGTTGCTCTCGTAGCAGCTCCCCTGATCTCTTTCACATACTGACTTGAGCGTCGGAGACTCTACGCCGGAAACCCCTCCGGCGTTGAGTTCTTGCAGGTGTTCTTGCGGCTTAACAACGGTTCGAACGCCATCACATCAGATCTAAGCTCGTTCGCACCGGTTCATCCCAGATCCGGACGCTTTCCCATTGGACCGTTCCAGATCTGAGAAGAAACTCATCAGGACCATTTGGTCCGGTGCGGTACTGGGAAATTCAGCTTTTTTGCCCACCCCTACTTAGCTTTCGACAATGCCTACATAGTGTTAGGGTTTTCTCCCTAACACTGTGGAGCGGCGATTTTATTGAAAAGCAAAAGAATGAATGAATGAATGTACACTTTTAGGGTATTCTCCCTTTTATACTAAGACCAAGAGTATTGGTCAAATACATAAGATAAAACGTGTTTTATAAAGATAATACCTAATATAATAGTTCTAAGTATCAAATAGCAACTTTATACTCTAATATGAACCAAATAACTGTTTAACCGATTTCGCATCGTATTAAAGCATGAAATACGTTTTCAATACCTAATGCAGTTACTGCTAAAGCTATTGTTGCAGCTTCGACCCAGATTCATTTAGCGCCCTATAACTTTTCAACATCTTTACAATGGAGTGTTCAGTTTTATCACGTGATACCTCAAAATACATTAAATAATTGTTAAATTTCCAAAATGAAACAAAAAAAATTATAGACCTTGAATTCAGAAATCCAATGGCATCTCGAGATCATTAATCAGACCTCCCAATTAATCATAGTAAATATGCTAGCGAAATTCTTAAACCACATCTCCAGCCCTTATCTCTGCTCTAGCGTGGATTTTACTCTACTCTAGTAGAGTAAACATTTGTCTCCAGCCTTTATATCTACATTTTACTCTACTTCAAATATATTATTTTTTCATCCTTTTTAATTTCAATTAAATTGATATATATATATATATATTTAATCTTATATAAATGTTTATTGCGGAAATAAGTAAAATATGTTGATTTTAATGAAATTTACTTGTTTTATTAATTGTTTATTCATATGGTACCATTTTAATATTCAAAAGCTGCAATATAAAATTATATTACATTAATAAATAAAAAACACACAATTATTTAACATGAAAAATACATTGCATAATTTATTTAGCATAGAAAATACATTTACTATTACACATTATATAAAAATTTATCATTAATATACATTAAAATACAAAAAAACACAAATAAAAATAAAAAATTCTAGAGATGCTACTGTTCCTTTCTCTAAAGTAGTGGAATTTTCTAGCGCAAGGTTGGAGACATTTCCCGCGCTACTAGTGTATATTTAGAGAGATAGAGCAGGGTTGGAGCTACTCTTAGCTTTAGGGGTAGGCGCGGTCCGGGATTTGACTATCCCGATGCCTGTCCCTTTTTTTGAACTGGTCTGAGAACGATCCGGGATGAGACACGGTCCCAAATAGATCAGTATCAATCGGGACCGGGACAAAACGGTTCGGGACCGGGATAAAACGGATCAAAAAGAAAAAAAAAAATCCATTACTACACTGCAACATGTTTATGTTAGGTTTGAACCTTGTTATAGCCTATATGTTGAACTGCACTTTTGAGAGTTTCGTGCAACTTAATTATATGCTCTATTCAAAGTTTATATATACAGTTTTATGGCATTATATGTATTGCTATGAGATTGAGAAAAAAATCGAAGAAAAGAGAAAGGTTTATGTGATGTGTTTGTGCCATTTTTTAGCCTTAATTTTTGGACCCCGCTTTGATGATTTAAGCATGATGATATTGTGTAAATATCATAGTTTTATTTTCAGCTTGAGGCCTTATATGTTTTGTTGGAAATTGAGAAAAAGAAAGAGAAGAAATGAGGGGCAGTATGTTATTTTTGCTAAGCTATATTGCTATTATTAACATGCTGGTATGTATATTTTCCAGTGTTCTAAAAGTCGCTAGGCGCCCGCTAGGCGCTCGACCAACGTCTAGCGCCTAGAGCGCCTAGGCGGGGCCTAGGCGGCGCCTAGAAATCAATATTAAATACCTTATTTTTATTTATTTTAACTACCTACAAAATAAAATTATCTCAACTTATAATTAATCGACACACCTAAGTCCAAATAATCAAATTAACATATTTTAAAGAAAAATGAGAACAAAATAATGTAATTAATATTTAAAACAATTAAAAAGTTAAAAAAAAACTAAAAAATTGTCGCCGAGCCCGCCTAGTCGCCGCCTAACTGCCTGACCGCCGAGCCCGCCAAGGCCGCCTAGGAGCGCCTAGGGCCGCCTAGGTGCCGCCTAGCCGCCTGACCGATTTTTTCTGCCGATTTGTACAAATCGGAGGCGCCCGGGCACCGCCTAGACCGATTTTTAGAACAGTGATATTTTCATAGTTAAGCTAGCATGGGTTGAGAATTTTGCCTTAAGAATAAAGAGAACATACATTAATATAAGTGAAAGTAGCTATTTTCACTCCATTTTGAAGTCGTGATAAGTTTATCACACCGCTCAATAAAAAGCTAAGTTTTTCACCCCAGAAAGTGCGAAAGACATTGTGCGATGAATATGTGACAACTGCGCGATGGCATTGTGCGAAAGTTAAAAGTGCGAAGGCATTCGCATATCCTTCGCACTTTCTGGGGTGAAAAAAGTTAAAGTGCGAAAGACATTGTGCGATTAATATGCGACAATTGCGCGATGACATTGTGTGAAAGTTAAAAGTGCGAAGGCATTCGCATATCCTTCGCACTTTTTGGGTGAAAAAAAAAAAGTTAAAGTGCGAATGTATTGTGCGATGAATATGCGACAGTTATGCAATTGATATGCGACAGTTATGTCGTCTATCGCATAACCTTCGCATTTTCTGGGGTGAAAAAGTTAAATTGTAAGTGGGCGGTGTGAAAAACTCAATATATCTTTGTATTGAGGTGAAAAAGATTTTGTCCCTTAATATAAATATCTCTCCACTCTGAAGCAGCTGAGTACTATTTGGGCTAAAGACACATACAATAAATATGGGTAATTGTTTAGTTATTTCATTTTTTTGGGCCAAGTAAAGATTGGCTTGTTATATTACAATATACAAATATAAAATGCATGTAGAACATAAAGGCTGAAACTACTGAAAGTCTGAAATGATTAAATGAAGTTAATAATTATTTACTATATTATTAATATAAATATAATAATAATGTATTATATATACACAAAATATTTTGTACAAACTAACTAAAACGGGACAAACAGGACGGTTCGTGACAAAAATATTCAAAACCGCTACCGACATTGTTCAAAACGGTTCGTGACCGGAAACGAGACGAAAATAAAATAAACCTTCTTTAACTTTATTTTTTCGGAACGGGACCATTTCGGTTCGGTTCGTACCGGAAATTCGGTTTTTTTGTCCACCCCTACTTAGCTTTCGACAACGCCTACACAGTGCGTCGGACATTTCAACCGACGATTCATGGTTAAACAACTGTCAGAATCTTATCAATAAACTCTTATTTTGTTCCTCTTTCAACCGAGTAGTACAATAGCCAATTAATTTTATGGTTGAAGTCCACATGAACGAACCGTTTAATTTCAAATATTATTTTCCGCTTGCCTTTCCGATCAAATATCAAAGCCGATGGACGGTGGTTTGACGGGAGCAATTAGTTTTTTAACGGAAGAGTTGACGGCGGCGGCTGTATATTTACTAGTAGGACCACTTAGATGTTGAAAAATAAATATCTTCCCAATATATTTTTACTTTAATTAGCTACACGAAAGTTAATAGAAATTTCACACCAATTCATCGCCAATTGGCCTATAAATAAGTGGTCTCCAATGGTTGGATAGTCGCCAATTATCCAAAAACTCTCTTAGCTTCTTCTTCTTCCTCTTAACATATAGTTATATCTTATCAACTAACTTCAATTTCACAAATGGCCACCAATGTCCTAAAGTGGAATCCCGGCGACCCCGTGCCTTACAACGGCGGCAAAGACCTCACCCGATACGACTTCCCGGACGGCTTTCTCTTTGGTGGTGCTACCGCTTCTTATCAAGTAAGTATAGGGGCTGGCTACGGTGCCGTGACACAATTCCCGTTAATATTTAATCTCAGACATTAGATCTTGTAAAATTGATAGAGACTTTTCGATGTGGTAAACGCCTACCAAACCATAGTAATGTTGCGTGTGTTTATTGGTTCTGCTAAAATGCACAACCGGACTTGAGAATTTTCTTTTAAGTATATTCATCAGAGTCGATTATATATTATTTTAGGTGGAAGGAGCTTATGATAAGGATCGCAGGGGAGTGTCTAACTGGGATGATTGGAGCCTTATGCACCCTGGTTGGTCCTTTATTATTATTATTATTATTATTATTATTATTATTATTATTATTATTATTTACTTAAAATAGTGATGTTTTTGCTAATTATAATGACAGGTAAAGTAGCTGAAGGCGGCAACGGAACTCTTGCGATCGATCACTACAATCGCGTCAAGGTAAATAATTCTATAATTTTTTCAAAAGGGGACTAATTAATTAATTAATTAATTAATTGATTGATTTATTTATTTATTTAATAATTTTTTTTTTATTTCACAAAAATAAAATTAATTGCAGGAAGATATCAGACTGCTGAAACAGACCGGATTAGATACTTACCGGTTTTCCATTTCATGGTGTAGAATACTCCCAGGTATTTAAATATTTTTCCCCCAAAAAATAAAATAAAATAAATTAATAATGTCTAATTTTTAATTAATTAATTAAATAAATTGTGGCATAGGTGGAAAATTTAGCACTGGAGTCAACCCAGATGGCATCAAGTTCTACAGTGATCTCATTGACTTGCTAATCAAAGAAAGTAAGCAGTCCAATTAAAAGAAAAAAAAAAGAGTCATTTTTTTTTTTTTATTAAAAAAAACAACCACAAAATAACTTACTAATTTATTTAATTTTATTTCTTTTGAATTTTGATCTCAAAGAGATTGAGCCAATTGTTACTATCTTCCACTTTGAGGTCCCCAAGTGTTTAGGGGATGAGTACGGAGGCTTCTTGAACCGCAGAATTGTGTAAGTTTATAAGTTTCGTGTATTTAAATAAATTTCGTTTGATAAGACAAACTTCGGGTAGATTCTTAAATAAGCTTCGAAATTTTTACTTCAGCTAACGTATCAGCTGATTTTCTAACTCATACCGCTAGATCAAACATAACTGGATTAGTAAGAGCATTTGTTCTATTTTTGTTGCCTCGCAGGGATGACTATGCCAAGTATGCTGAAGTGTGCTTTCAGGCATTCGGTGATCGGGTCAAAATTTGGACGACGATAAACGAGCCGAGCACATTCACGACCCTTGGATACGTGAACGCCTCATTTCCCCCGGGCCACGGGACCCCACCCGACGAACTCCCACACAAAGTTGTACTACACAGATGTCACCCGGACACCGACAAAACTTGCCACAGCACCGGGAATGAAGCTACCGAGCCCTACATCGTGGCTCACCATTTGATTCTCGCTCACGCTACGGCTGTTCGTATTTATCGCGAAAAGTATCAGGTCCGTTTCTAGTCGATTAATTACTCAATAATTTGGTTAACATTTTTTTTCTACATTCAAGTAATTGAAACAAACACAGGCTGTCCAAGGAGGGAAGATAGGCATTGTGGTTGTTCCCAACAGTTGGTACTTTCCATACTCTGACAAGAAGGAAGATAAAGAAGCCTGTGAAAGAGCCATTGAATTTTTGCTGGGATGGTAAATAACTGAATATCTATATATATTTACTAGTGCCGTTAAGTTAAATTAAACCAGTCTGACTCGGCTCAGCTTGTTAAATCTCGAGATCACCTCGTTAATGCTCGAGCTCGAGGCCTTAACAAGCCGAACTCAAGCTCAATTTTAGGCTGGTTTACGAGCTCGACTCGTTTACGGCTCTAACATTTACCAATTTAATTTATTGAACCATCAATATTCATTAATTTAACCGTCGGATGCTATTTTCGGAACTTTATTCAGGTTTGTCCAGCCACTAGTGAGCGGCGAGTATCCGGAAAGCATGCAAAAGCGCGTGAAGGAACGGTTGCCGAAGTTTTCGGACAAGGAGAAAGAGATGGTAACTGGGTCGTATGATTATATTGGGCTCAATTATTACACGACAATGTGGGCCCGGTACAGGAAAAAGCAGCCCGATGACCCAATAAACTACCATACAGACCAAGAAGTCGAATTTCTGGGTAATTATTCTACCCAAAAAAAAAAAAAAAATTATAATAATTAATTACCACCTTACTTTATTTTAATTATTACTTTTGGATATATATATATAACTAATTAATATCTTTAATTAATTATTTCAGATGAGCGAAATGGAATTCCAATTGGACCTCGGGTAAAAATTTAATTTATGAGTGTCATCAAATGCTACGATCCCGTTCAAAACTATTCCGTCGGGTTTGTAACCGTTAGATAAACAATATCTGACGGTTATATGATGATCTAAACGGTTACAAACCCCGACGAATAGTTTTCCCCAATCTTCACTTAGTCATATCATTTAGTTCTTACTTAAATGTCTATATATATATACAGGTTGGTTCAGAGTGGCTGTACTTTGTCCCTATCGGAATATACGATCTTTTGACTTATGCAAAGAGAAAATATAACGATCCCGTGATTTACATCACTGAGAACGGTATAGCTATAATCGAAACTTTCGACTTCTGTCGATTTTATTTTATTTTATTTTCGATTATTGCAATTCAGAAAATTCGAATTTTTTGCAGGTTGCAGTGAGAAGAACGTAAAGAATCTGCCGATTCACCTCCTTTTGGCGGACGACTTCAGAATTAAGTACCATCAGGAACATCTTGCATATCTGAAGCTTGCTATAGAGTAAGTACATTGCACATTTTTTAGTTTAAAAAAGTAAAAAAATTATGTTTTTTGTACTAACTTTTAAATGTATATGCATTTACAGCACAGCGAGGGTGAACGTGAAGGGATATGTGGTGTGGTCCATATTGGACAACTACGAATGGGCCGCGGGCTACACGGTTCGATTCGGCATGTACTTTGTGGACTACCTGAATGGGCTTAATAGGTATCCCAAGAAGTCGGCCATTTGGTACATGAACTTCCTCAACAAAAAGAAGCTTATGGGACCTAAAGATAGGGAGGTCGAGGACATCACTGAAGAGGCGGCGGGGAAAAAGAAACGGAAGTATTAGAAAGGCATCGATCGACTGAACGAGCTATTTGTGTTGTGTGTTGCGAAATAAGGCATCGATCGATCGATTGCCACTCTTTAATGTTTGTTGCTTAGTACTATAATATTGTGTGTTTGAATAAGAGCTCGACCGCGTCGGGTTTTCGTTGTATTCGGATGGTTAATTAAGAGCGTGAGATGCATCTCATGGCATTGAGTGTGTATCGGATTTATGAACAATTGTGTTTCAAATAGTTGTTCTTCAGCTTTGTTAATCTTACTAGAAAATGAACTTCAAATAAAGTGTATCGAAGCATCGTGCAAAGGTACAGATTAATATAAGATGAGAATGTTCTGCTTGAATTGATTTCCATCTTAAATTATCCTAATGCAAAATTATTGATTCACACATTTGTAGTGTAGAAATGGAGTGTGTTTATGAGCTAAGATAATGGAGAGGTAAAATCTTATTATCCATAATGACCAATTGGGAAGAAGTTGCAGCATTTATACCTAAGGTTAACTAAAAAAATGAACACGTGCAAAGGAAAGTAATATAAGCAATAGTGAAACACGTTTTTTCATAAAGCATTCATTCTGCAGATATGGTGGAGATTCTATACTACGTTCTATTCAATATAGTCGCGTGGTATTATAATTGAGGTATGTTATGTGAGTATATATGAGATATACCTTCTGGCGGGGTGAATAGTACCCTTCCGTCGGAAGAAGCATATATGAGACAGTTGTTCCGGCGTGATACTGGGCAGTGCCCTTCTGTCAGAAGAAGCAAAATTGAGATAGTCCTCCCGGCGGGGTGTGTAATGCTCGTCCTTCCGTCGGGGTGTGCAGTATGTTGTAGTCCTCTCGGCAAGGTGTGCAGTACCCATCCTCCTGTCGGGTTGTGCAGTTGAGCCTTCAGTTATTCGCGTTTCATGTTTATGTTATAATATAAGTTATTATACTGAATATGTGCGTAGTATGTCTCTCCACTGAGCTAGTGGTTTGCTCACCCCTCTTTTTTCCCCTTTCACGTTGATCGAGTTGGTGCCAAAAACAAAGGCGCCAACACCCCTTCCTCAAGCTAGATTTGGACTAAAAGGGTACCATGCCCAGCTTGGACATCAGTAACGAAATTGAGGACCATGGTGAAGCTTGGTGAAGACATCAACCAGTTGGAACTGAGAAGAGACATGATCAAGAGAGATAAAATCCTCTTTGGACATATCACACACAATATGACAATCAATGTCGAGGTGCTTAGTACGTTCATAGAACACTAGGGTCGAGTTATGAATGGCAGTCTGATTGTCACATTGCAAAGAAATGGGTAAAGATGGAGCGATGTCAAATTCAACATTGATGTAGGAAAGCCAGTTGTATTGTGCTTCTGAAGGCACGATACTTGGCTTTTGATGTAGCTTTTGACACAGTGCATTGTTTCTAGTTTTCCAGTTCCTAAAAATATGCAATATCTAGTGATACATCTTCGAGTGTCTTTGTAGTGGCCCAATCAGCATCAATGTATGCATGAAGAATAACAGAAGGTTAAGAATAATAAATGAGTCCCAGATTGTACGACCCTTTTAAGTGTCTTAGAACATGAAGAGAAACATCCCAATGATCAATTCAGGTTAAGTAACAAACTGACCTACTTTCTGCACTGAGTAGGCAATATCAGGTCTGGTCAAGTTAACAGATAAGATCTCGCCCATCAATCTTCCGTAACAATTAGGATTTTCAAAGAGTTCACTTTGACAACCTGTGAGAGAGATCCCTTGAGGAAGTTCGGTGGAAAAAGACTTACAAAACTTTCTTATCATATATATATATTTTTTATTTACATAACATTTAATAAATTATGTGTGAATATTTTGGCTATGTTTGGACAACAAAGTGTAAGTATTTTAAGGATTGGCGGTAAGTCGACGAACCTTCATCTATCCCCAGGAATAACTCGTGCATGAATAATTAAGAGAAGTTCAATTTATATTTTAGATTAATTTTAATTGTACTAGTTTATTGTAATTAAGTATATCGTGTATTATTTCTGGCAGGTTTATTGAAGGCGATCGAGATGGACTTTTCTTGCAGAAAAGATTCAGTTGTTGAGTAGGACATTCCATAAGGATGGCAACATCAAATCAGGATCTTACCTTTTGGAGCTTGGCTTGGTAGCGAAGACAGATTCACTTAGATCCTGATTTAAGGAAGGCATCGTGAAGGAAGAAGGTTAACCGAGATTATTAATTTTTTCGAGGAAAAACTATTTTTGTGAAAAGAAAAATAAAATGTCCCGAACGTTTTGTTTTTAGATTTAGTGTTGAATCAAGGGAGTCTTTTTTATCTTGATAGAGTTTGTTTTGTTGAATTGTAACAGAGTGTTCGGAGGTTCACTCTGATCTGTTTGAGGGAGTCAAACTAGAAAAACCACAAGGGATTTATGGCCGGATAAGTAATGGTGTAGATTATTATTCAAGTAGAGTGTAGAGGGAGTCTGCATTGTAAACTCTTGAATAATGGTGGTGATGTCTACATTAATGAAAAAGATCTAAAAGGAGAGTTGGACATTGTCCTGAAGGTTCAATTTTTAGAAATTCTGTTTCCGCAATTGTTTGAACTTTCTCAGTTCACTTAGTTACTTGATAAGCGCGATTCTGGTTGTTTTCGTATACCTATATAGAACTTCACAAAGTTTTCCACAAAAAATAGTTGTTTCTACATGTTGGCTTATTTGACTTTTAGGAACCGTTAAAAATGTTGTTTGGTTAACAACTTTTCTTAGCAGCTTATTTGCTCAAAAAGCTATAATTCAAAACACAACATAATGGAGAGTTTTTTTTTTTTTTT